GGTACTGCTGGTCCTGGAAAACCTGGCGAACTCCGGAGAATTGTTGCAGGGCTGCTGGGTCAGGCACTGAACCCGAGCCCTTTCCGCTTTCCGCCATGGCGTTATGGTCGAAAAAAGGGGGAATCACAACCCTTGCACATGCACGTGCAGCTTGCAGCCAAGCGCCTGGGTTTCCTTACTACCCCCCTCTATACCTCTCCTTCCTCGGGTTTCCCCTTAATTAGCCTTAATTAGGCGTAGATCCATAAAGAGAAGTTTGATTCAGGGGTAAACTTGGGGGGGTAGTACAGAGGGGAGTAGTAGGGGAACCCATGAAGGATCCTTCCGGGAGGGTTCTCAACCGTCTGTCCTTGTTGGGGTTTAGGGTTTAGGGCTGTGAGAACAGTTGAAGGGAGTGTTTTTCGTATCATCTGTTACTGGTAGCCTGAATTCCAGGATACATGCCCTTCTGCTGCCCTATTGCTTGTCGTCTATGACTGTTGCCAAAGTATCTGAGCTTCTCAATTTGGACGTGCCCCTACGGATATTGTGGGCTATGAAAGGGTCCCCCTTCATGCAAAGCCTAAACTCTAACCCCAAATCCTGAATCCTAAACCCTAAACCCCAAACCCTAAATCTTAGTATTAGAGTTTGCTTCCTTCCCTCGGCCAGGTTCAGTCGCTACCATGACGACACAAACCTGGGAAACCGCATCTCAAAGCTTGGGCACCTTGGCACCTAAACCCTAGGGTTTAGGGTTGAGGGTTCAGGGTAAACCCTAAGAAAGTGGAGCTTTTTCAAAACCATTATCTAGGAATTTCCTTACTTAAGGGGTAAATAGGGATAATGAAAAAGAAGCTTGCAGCTACTACTTAGAGTTGAGGGTTTAGGGTTCTTACAGACCCCAATAGTTATACATCTGCGTATTTGTGGGGGTCCCTTGGGGTGTCTCGATTTCGAAGCAGCTTGTGATTAGACGGAATCCACTATACACTTATATACATTCAGTTCCCATTCTATTTTCCATGTTCTTCTCCATTATCCTAAGCCCTAAACCCTAAATCGTGGTTTCCGTTTTCTTTTCCCATTCTCCCTATATAACCCCTATTTAACCCCAATGTAACCCCTATGTAACCCTTATATAACCCCTATACAACTACGTCAGGCCGGGCAGTGTCGTCGGAGAACTTGCGCTGATGAATGATCAGCCCGGGTCTCAGTGGTGACGGAAAGGCCGTACTGGCACTAATCCAGACCCCGGATTAATAAACCCCCTCCCCTTAATGGAGATTGTTATAGGGATGCTTATATTAAGGCCCTTAAAAGGGGGGTTTTTAATCATGGGTCTACTCAAGCCATGCCGATAAAGTCAAGGCCTCGTGATAGCGATAGGGCCAGGATTGGATTTAGGGCGAATGTTTGAAAAACCTCAAATATTATGGTAGCTTCCATTGTGTTTTCCATACCCCCTACATATCCCCTACCTATCCCGTATATAAACCCCCAACCCCAAATACCCTAACCCTGCACCTGAAACCATTTCCGTAGCTCTAATAAGTGAGGAAGAGCTGAGGGTTAAGGCTGTGCGCCAGGTGGAGGTCTGCTAGGCTCCAACATCGTACATGGGTGGGTTAGGGTTCAGGGTTGAAGTTTAGGGCTTATGGAAATGCAGCGGAAATTGAACCAACGCCCCCTCACTACACGTCCAAATCCACGATTCTGAAACCTGAACCTCTTAGCACTATGTGGGTGGTTGTCAAAATTATGGTCCCTTTTTGGGTCCCTATTATAATACGGCCCCTAATATTTAGGGGTACCCATAAAGGGACCATAATTTTGACAACCACCCATGTAAACTCCCCTAATCAGGCTTATAAACCCCACTCGCCAACCTCAGCAGAACAAAGCAGGAAAAAGGGTGTGTTTCATACAAATGGGTGGTTGTCAAATTTATGGTCCCTTTTTGGATCCCTATTATAATACGGCACCTAATATTTAGGGTACCCAAAAAGGGGTCATAATTTTCACAAGCACCCAAATGTCCTTTCAAAGTCGACACATTAAAGGTCGACTGCTTGGGGTTCCGGCCCTAAGTCAAAAAGATAAGCAAATGACCTTTAGGGTTTAGGGTTTAGGGTTTAGGGCTACCTGGCGTCCAAAGACCGGAGCCCTAAACCTTCCCTCACTACTGCACAAACTTGAAAAAATTCTACTGTCATTTCCTTACCCTCATCTTACGGTAGTATAACATAACCTCAAGCCCTATTCCACTAATTTAGGCCCCTCCAGTGCAATCCCTTAAGGTACCATAATATGGGGTTATACAGGGATATTGCCCCAAATAATGGAGAATCAAATGGAAAAGATAATGGAACGTGGATGGAAACAGGGGTTGAGGTAGATACACCCTCCAGCTTCCAAGTCTCTCTCTCTCTCTCTCTCTGTCCCTCAGACCCAAACCCTACATCCACAACCCTAAACTCTAAACCCTAAATCCTAAGCGCCCCCCCACCCCCCCATATACACCGGCATCCCAGTTTTTGATACCGTTATGTATCCCGCTATACCCCTATATACATCTGCTGTACGCCATACCCCTTAAAGACCTTCAACAACTTCTGCTTTCCATGCGCTGAGGCCACGCCTCGCTTCTGCGAAGTGCCTGGAAGACACGGAAGTCTTTGTGATCCGGAGGAGCCTCCTAGGGCTTTGGAAGGTGTTAGGAGTTGAAGATCTTGGGATTCATCTAGGGGGGGTGGTGCTCACCTCCCCATACTACAGACTCGGTTCCCCCTTCTTTAAGCTTATGAAGGGATGATGATAGCCAATTCGGCTAACTATTGGGGAATTTTCGCGGAATTTAGGCGGTAGTATAGTGGGGGTAGTAGGGGAACCAATGATGCCAGTGAAGTCGAGGCAACAGCTTTGGTTTGATGTCCGTGCATTTCTTCCAGGCTCACTAGTAATTAGTTGTAAGACCCCAATGAAGATCAAGATTCGAAACCCATTCCAATCTCGAGCCTTCAAACCCAAACCTCAATCCTAAATCTTAAAACCCTGACCACTAAAGCACTAATCAGGCCCTAATCCCTCAACCCCTATATACTTTGAATCTTTGAGAGTCCACGCCCCCCGAACCCCTGCCCTCTTACCCTCTAAACCTCAACCATAGATGCACATCGAAAAGCCTGATCAGTAGGCATGCTCTAGTCCCGTAACTGACTCAACACTGGAGGCATGACTTTGACAACGTCCTCAAAGAGGACGTGGAGGGATTACATGTCCAGGGGTTACTCGGGGGAATGGTACGTTCATGATTGAGAGAAGACCTTACCGTGATTAGCATGAGTACTGTTGCTGGCTACTACTACCATGTTTATTCGGCAGTAGCACGAGGAGGAAGAACAGGACGACTACTACTACTACTACTACCACCACCACGACGACGACTACTACTACTGCTACTACTACTACTACTACTACTACTACTACTACCAACAACAAGGAACAAAGCCAATAATTAAAGCTGCATTTGTCAGAAGTTGCAGGTGGGTCTCGCCAGTGCGAGATGTTTGCTTTGGAAGAGTCCACAGCATCCCTGCTCCGCATCGGCAGGAGATGGTCAAGAAGGGTGATGAGAAGCTAAGGCGACCAGCTGTCATGACTCAAGCGCGTCCTGCACGGCCCGTGCGATCCTTCTGTAAGGTTCCTCATGCGGCATTTGCCTGGCATGAAGGAGGCCGGGAATTTCTTCTGCTGGTGCCACGCTGCTGTGGCATAGAGTCTTGGCCGCTGCCAGGTACCTGTACCCAAACCTGGGGGGAAGCCCCATGCCTCCTACGTTTTCAAGCACATGAAGTTTCCGCGCGGCCTGCAGCTTATCCTTGCACATGAGTCTGTACTACACACTTCTGCGTCTTACAAGTATCGTTGCACTTCGGCCTTTGCGATACCGTGTGGATGCGAGGCCACACCTTCTTGGTACAGGGCAAGATCGCTTGATCCTGAGTGGAAGCTTTCAGCGTGCAGAAGTCTTTGTTGGCTGCTGTTCTACTCTTGTCATCTGCCCGGCTCCGGTGCTTGCCATCCATCATACCAAACATGGATACCTAGTAAGGGATGAAGCCTGTTCAAAAGCAGCAAGCTTCTTGTTTGAATACGGTTGTATTTGATTTTACAACACCAGATGTCGTGTGATTCAATCCTCCCGGCAGAAACCATACCCGCGCCCATGATCACGGATCTGCTAAGTATGAGATGCCCTGAACCCATGTCACACGCAAAAATCAGAAGAGCATGCTGCTAAAAAACACATGAATTATGACCATGAAGGACGCTGTCATCTCCGGGCATGGTCATCATGTTTGTTATTCGTGTGGTCAACGCTGATTTGGTTTCAAGGCCAAAAAACTTGCTTCTTTTGTGTCTAGTTTGTAGACTCGGCCGGCTGTTGTCAGCAAGCGTGCTGGCTGGGCTAGCGGCACCTCTGCAAAAGCAGATGCTTGACGAGGCACCGCCCCCAGCCCATGTCACTTGCTGCCAAGTGACCCTTGGTCAAAGATTTCGCAACGATCCTGACAGCTCCCGAAATGGGAAAAAGGCACCGCGGGCATCATTCTCGCTAGCAGTTCTTAGCTACAACATGGTGAGTCTCAGATTCTCAACATCACTTGAATGAGCATTGCGGCTTTGTGCTGACTACTCGGTTTTGATCTTGGAGCTTTACGTTGAAGCTGCTTGCATATCCATAGTTCGCTTGAGTAGATCAGGATACTTATGCTCTCACCTCTAGCTACCCATAAACCTCCAAGCACCGAATTGGTCAACACAATTCTACACACAATCCCTAGTAGGGACCGCCAGGAGCCCTTTGAAATCCGCAGATGCCTGAGAGGTTTGTAGCCCTCTTGTTCCCACGTTTCTGGTTGAAACAATTCCCAGGCCGAGCCTCATATCTGGGCTGTGTACAAGGGGGCTGTGGAGTTCAAAAGAGCAGAGGTGCCTGTGGCGTGTAGTATTTTATTTGGGGATACTATGGTACCCATTATAGAGTAAGATTATATCCCCCATTTGGGGTATAGTATTTTATATCAAGACTATAATCTTACTAGGTTTAACCACCAAAAAACACTACTCTGGTGAGATCCTGGCTGATCTTGGTTGCTTCCAGAGCGTGTTATATTGGGGTTATATTGGGATAATGGAAAAGAAAATGGAAACTACTATAGTAAATTGGGGTTATATAGGTAGAAGCCTTGGGGCTTTAGGGTTCTACCTGAGAGGAAAGAGAAGCCATAATTTCAGGACGAGAACCAGTATTTTGTGGTTCTTGCTGGGTTCTGTTTCAAGTCCTCATGCACGTCCATGTGCTGTGTTTAGCCAGCACATATCGCAGTTTGCCAGGTTCTGTTGCTTGAGAAGCTTGGTGGCGCTCTCAGCTTCCATGCAGCTCTCCTCCATTTACCGTCAATTGCGTGATCCCCAAAAGAGTTCTGATTCTGAGGATTCCGACAAATAATATTGCAGCTTGTGTGAAGTCTTCCTCCTCATTATTTCCTTTGTTGCAAAGATGTGTCGTACCCTACAAGCCCCTAAGCCGTAAGCCCTAAATTCTACCTTAAACCACAATCCCTAAACCCTAAACCCTGAATTGCTTCAGCCTTGCTGAGGCGGGGATTGCAGCATGCCACAGCTGCGCTCTCGCCCCCTGAGCGCATTGAAGAAAACCGGCATGAAGAAGCCGACGCCTCAGCCATACATGAGCTATAGTCTAAACTGCTTAAAGGGGGTTATATAATAGGGGAGTACCATAGGGGTTATTAAGGGGGATACTAGGAGTTTAGACTGTGGCTCACATAGTCTGGGTTGCGGTTAAGGAAGTTAATTTCAGTTGCTATATTAGGGAAACCATACTAAGTACTATATATACTCATTGTGGTAACTTAAGTTCCTTAACAGCACCCCAGTAGCACTTGCCTAGGGGCTGTTGAACACAAAAAAAGTGAGAAGGTTCTTGTCTCGGGGATCCTTAAATTGTAGGGAGTAAACCAGGACTGCCGGTTGTAGTGCTAAAGCCTGCTCTTCAAGCAGAAGACGACATATAGATACTGCGTCCTGAATGAAATTTGGTTCAGACCGCTTCAACTCCTTGTATTGATCAGCATGGTTTTGATGGGACTCCTTCCACATACAGTGATATGTAGGGGTTAGGGAATGATGGAAAATCAAATCAACAAGGAGATGAAACATGAAATGGATAAGTTGGGCTCTCATATGTTGCTTTATTTTGGCTGATAAGGGGATGAGAAACCATCCAGCAATTAAGCTGTAAACATGAGGATAGTGGTCATTGTGGCTTTTTTGCGAAGTGGTGGCCTCCAACATCCTTGCAATTGGTTAAGGGTTTATGGTTTAGGGCCAAAATTCTAGCTCAGGAGGGTAGCTATTAGCTGGGTACCCTGAACGGAGACCTACATAGACCTCATATAGCCCCAAGCCTAAACACTAAACCACAACTCCCAAATCCTAATGTAGAAGCCTGAATGCGTGCCTGTGCTATCCTTTCAGAATCCTTCTTTTGCCATTGTATGGTACATACCCGAAGGCCCGGCTCCAAATACTTACTGGCGGTTAGTAGGGAATCAGGAAACACAATTCCTATATAATCACTATTATAATATGTTCCCTTGTTCCCTACGTTTCCATTTTCTTTTCCACTATCCCTATGTTAACCCTGTATCCCCTCTTAACCCCCAATAAGAATGTGTAGCCCTGCGTTTCCCTGCAAGGGGCTTTGTCCCTTAAACCCTAAACCCCAATCAGAATATGTAGGCCCTGCGTTTCCCTGCAAGGACTTTGTCCCAACCTCGCCTACACGGCATTGGACGCCGCTTGGCGCGCGATCAATCCTTCGACGGTCAGTAAAGAATGGGTTTTAGGGTTGAGGGTTTAGGGGATAGTCTGAGGGTTTAGGGTTTAAGATCAGGATATAGGGTTCAAGGTTCAGGGAATAGCGGATGAATCAAAGTTGACAAACTTGAAAGAACATGGACATGAAATCGAAACTGGCGTTGTATAGAGATAGGAATTGCAATGTAGGGGCTCAATGATCAGAACATCGTGGTTCTAGGTTCCTTGTACCATAACAGTCTAGGGTGCCTGAACTCGACCTCGCAATAGCATTGGTTACCTACACTGCGGAATGGGAAAGACAACGGAGACTCCAGATTATCTAACGGTTAAGATCAAGTAGGTAATGACGAAAGTGGGCAAGACAAGAAAGTGGATTCTACTTAATTATTGAAGGTTTCAGGTTTGGGGAAGAAAGGAATGGACAGTATTTGAAGTGATTACATAGGCACTTCTGCAGCATCCATTCCCGCATTCCCTACGCACCACTTCTCAGTCAAAGCCCCTTTCCCTGCCTGAATCTGCTTCTTTCTTCTCATCATCATGAGCGCCTTTGGAGTTTCTCGAAAGGTTCACAAGATGGTCTGTAACCAGAATCCCATTGCAATCCCTTATTCATCCCATCTTATGCCTAGGAAGTTTGAGAAACTCCGGTTTGTTGTTGCTGTCGTGGCCATGGCTGCAACCATGCCGTGAACACTATCCTTCAACAAAGGGTGTCCACTCCACTAGCTGTTTGGTCAACAGAATGGATGTGCTAACCACTCAACAATGTTACTTCCGCAGCTGAGGCTTTCATTTACTATCATCGGGGGCCCATGTAAGATGTTTGTAAAGCCAACCTCTACAGCATGTTCAGTCTCTACCTTGGAAACTCAAGGTTTCTGAAACAATCCTCCCAGTTGCTAACCTACGATAAGGTGATGGGAATGTGGCCGTGGAGGCAGACGTTGCTGGTGCAAGACTACCTGGTGCTTCGTGGGGAATGAGGAAACGCATCCCTATAGTAGTCCCTACACAATCCACTCTAATAGTCCTTATGACACATTCCCCCGTTGCCCAACAAAACACCAGGGAAAGAGGGTTTAGGGTTTGGGATGCTTGTATCAATGATAGGGGTTCTCTCGCCCATGCCAGCTTTTGCCAGAGACCAATAATGATGAGCCCGATGCAAAAACGGTTGTAGAGGGGAGCCCTGATTTTTTTAAAGAAATGTTCATGCTCCCCCGTTTGGGGGTTCCTCTTTCAAGACCTCCGCAATTCTAGGGGGCATGCAAGGACCAAAAGATTGACAATGCTTTTTGTATCAAAGCACAACTGTCTGCATGTTGCGTCTTTACACCATGGAGGTTTCGGATGTTTGCTGTGACATCAGCTGCTTCGTTTAGTTTTGTGCGTGCTGGCATGTTCCGTTCATGTTGGCAGCGACAAGACCAAGCTTGTGCTAATTAGAGATGTTTGATGCTGAAGCATGCAGAGGTAAAGTAAGAGGGAAATGAAGGTTCGTCAAACATCAGAAAGACGTATTGTTTGTCTGCAGCTGTTTCACATGACATAGCTTGCCGCATGTGCAGCCAGACAAGACAAGACAGACATACCATTCACAGGCAAGATCCTTCTCGTGCCCCTTCAGAGTCCCCAACAAAGTGGCGAATACCAAGTCAACTTACCCGGCGTATTCCTCACATCATGAGTGCCATAAAAGATGTCATTCAGGTTCCTGATTAAACCCCAGCTTTCATACCTGCTAGTTGAGTCCTAGAATTGCTGAGCTAGCCTATTGCATGCTCAGAGCGTAGGGGGGTCTTGGCCTCAGGAAAGGGGGTCCTTAAGCGTATTTCAAGGCGACGGAATTATGATTAGAATCAAGGAGGGCTACAAAAGAAACTGTACAATTTTCATAGTTGTACGGTTAAGGGTGTGGAAGAAGGGCTTGCCAGAGTCTGAAGCAAGGGATTTCCCCAGTTTGGGACCCTGCACATAGACCAGGATTCGCTTTTGCCTGCTTTGAAAAGGTTTCTGGCTGCTCCTATATCCGACAAAAAACAAGGTTGAGATGATACTCCTGAAGTAGTGAGGTTATGTAA